TGAACCAGTCAGCAGCCGCCATAGCACCAGCGAACGCAGCGGCGAATGCAGTAGCGACGTCAGCAGCAGCAGCAGCAGCGGCGACACCGACACTTAACCCAGCAGCAGCGGCAGCGGCTACAAGGAATCTTGAGGCGGCACGTCCGAGGCTACCGGAGACATTCTATCCAAATGCTAGAGACACCGATGTCCGTCGATTCATTGCGACCCTCGAAATTTACTTCGAGGCCGTTGGCTGTACGACCCCGTCACACGATGCAATGCGGATTTGGCTCGCAGCAACACTGTTACGAGGCCCGGCGCTCGAGTGGATTTACAACAGCAATAAGATCCGAAGCGAGGGGTCATGGACGCAGTTTCGGGAAGCTTTAATTCAACGTTTCGAACCAATCAACTCCAGCTACATGGCGCGGCAGCAGATTCATCGGCATAAACAGTTCGGCAATGTAACATAGTACACGCAGTAGATGGAGAGCCTCTTCAACCGAATTACCGACCTAATTGAAGGGGAAAAAATCCAAGCGTATACTGAGGGGCTAAAGATGGAAGTCCGCCGACAGGTGATTGCCGCAAACTACAACAACTACCGCGACATGGTGTGTGCAGCAGAGAGATTCGATGCGCTAATGCGATTCGATGCACGATGCCCGAGACACGACGCCACGTGCCGAACAGATCATTCGACACGATGCGATCGGCACCACCCACGACCGCCGACCCGATGGATATGGACAAGATTGACCCGAAGCAGCGGCCGACAAAATATGAGAAGTGCGAATTTTGCGGCGCAGCAGGACATCGATTCTTGGCGTGTTGGAAAATGAAGAAGGCACGAGCGGAGCTGCAGGGCAACAACAGTGCGACATCCACGATGGCGAAAAAAGGAGGACATGATGGTGCGAATTTAAAACGCCACGACCGGCCGGCAACAGGGGACATCGCCGGGACAAATGGAGGCTCCGCAAAACAAGACTCTGCACCGACCGGGAAACTCCAGCCGAACACCCCCGAGAATAAGAATATTCCCTGTCGAGGTTTTCAAGCCTTTAAAAAATCCAAGGGAGATTTCGAGGCCAAGAAAAAGCCTTGAGACATTATTCAGGTACCTGGAAAGTTGGGCAAACCACTCCGGAGCGTTGAAAAGGGTTGTGCATTCCAAGGAGTTCATATTCTCTCCCCGCAGCATAGTGTTAAGGCTCCCCATTGCCCACGCGAGAAGCCTACACAGCTGCAAAGGCTTAAGAGAAGGTTCCACGCCAAGAGAAGCCGAATCGGCCTCGGATAAATCCTTCTAACCTTTCTCAGTTCAAAACTGACACTGAAGCTGCATCTTCGAGCGCAGGACCTAGGGATAACATATTCGACGTACCCTACGATCCTATAAGTGATACCATCTACAGATACTCGGAGCAGCAGCAACCACTAGTACTCGAGGTGATCTGCAACAGGCGTCGCCTCCAGGCCCTAGTAGACAGTGCTGCGTCCCACTCAGTGTGCGACCGCGGGACGTTGGAGAAAATTGGAGAATCCTCAGAAGAAACCCAGTTTACAACAACGATGGTGGACGGTACGAAGCTTCCTATCCACGGCAAGTCAACACTGCAGCTGCAGATAGGGGCGTTGAGATGGAAGCCGATGTTGCCGATCACGAACATCAAGGGATTAGATTTCATCTTGGGAGGAGATTTTCTGAAGCGGTTCAACCCCGAGATCGACAGGGTCAACCGGAAAACGTGCATCTACAACAACGGGAAACGAGTAGAGCTGCAAAGCTGGATGGACACAGGAAGCGTTCCTGAAACGATACTGGGACGGTTCAAACGGACAGTGAACGAGAGTAACACGGGTTACTTAGCACTGGTTATGGCAGCAGCAGAGGAGGAGGTCTTGGAGCAGTACAAAGATATAATGCCCAACGACCTACCCACAGGCATACCTCCAGCACGCACCCACGAGCACGAGATCGTGGAGGAACCAGGTGCGAAACCCGTCTCTTGTGCACCATACCGACTGAGTCCGACTAAACTGACAGACATGAAAAAACCGATAGAGTATCTACTGGACAGACAACTGATCCGCCCATCCACCTCTCCCTACGGTGCACCAGTTCTCCTCACTCCAAAGCCAGACGGTAGTTTACAGATGTGCATCGACTACCGCGCACTGAACAAACAGACAGCACTGACTACAGCGCCAGTACTCATCCTACCGGATCCAGATAGCGACTACGTGGTGGAAGCAGACGCTAGTGACCAAGCAGTCGGAGCACTACTGATGCAGCATCATGAACGCAGTTTGCAGCCCATCGCCTACCTCAGTAAGAAGCTGTTACAGTGGAAGGACTTAGCTCTAAAGAAGGGTTCAGGAAAGATTTGGGTACCGAATTACGCCCCGCTACGGCAGATGCTATTGGAGGAATTTCACGACGTACCTTACGCGGGACATTTCGGGAGCAACAAGACGTTAGCAGGGATGGCGAAGTATTACTACTGGCCCGTGATGGCAGCAGACGTGCAGCAGTTCGTCACCTCTTGCGACACGTGCCAGCGGATGAAGAGCAGCAAGCAGAAAAAAGCAGGGTTACTTCAGCCTCTACCCGTACTGGAGCAGCCATGGCAAGTCGTCAGCCTAGACTTCATCACTGGGCTACCTTCGACCTCACGAGGGCATGACGCTATACTCGTGGATATCAACAAGTTCTCTAAATTGGGTCACTTCATACTGACCAACGCCACAGCTACAGCTGAAGCAACTGCTTGCCTCTTCTTCGACCGCATCATCACCATCCACGGCATTCCCGCTACACTCATCTCAGACAGAGACCCAAAATTCACCAGTAAGTTCTGGAAGGAGCTCATGGGACTGTTGGGGACAAAGCTTGCAATGTCTTCAGCATACCACCCCCTGACTGACGGACAGACAGAGCGACTCAATCAAGTGGTTGAACAGTTACTGCGCACAGCTTGTAAGGACGACGTCAGCCACTGGGACACACAGATACCGACCCTAGAGTTCGCTTACAACAACGCATCACATGCGGCCACAGGGAAAACTCTTTTCTTCCTGTGTTACGGACGGGAACCACTCACACTACAGCAGCCAACCACACCGGCACACATCCAAGCCGCACATGACTTCGTCACCACCATGCAGCAGCTATGGGAGAAGACTCAGCGACGTCTCACCACGATGCACAACTCCCAGAAGTAGTATGCCGATCGTCAGCAACGAGATCACTCAGTAGCAGTCGGAGATCAGGTGCTTCTTGACACACACAACTTGAACATGTGTCACCTACCATCCAAACTCCGGCCTCGCTTCTGTGGTCCTTTTCTCGTTGAGGCACAGGTGACACCAGTTACATCCCGCTTGCGCTTACCAGATACATGGAAGCTTCACAACGCTTTCCATGTCCAGCTACTAAAACCCTACAAGGACCCCAACCAACAGTTCCTGGGACGGCAGCTACCGCCACCACCACCTGTTCCCGTACAGGATGAACCAGAGTACGAAATGGAGCGCGTTCTCACTCATCGGCACCGCGGTGGCAAGACTCTCGAGTTCCTGATACGCTGGAAGGGATACGACCCCACTGAGGACAGTTGGGTTGCAGAAGCTGATATGGGCAACGCACGCCGTGCTCTCAAGGACTATCTTGTCAAGCAGGGTGTATCTCACGCCACCCAGCTTTGAGGGGGGGGCGTGTGAGAGTACGACAGCTTATGCCAGCTATGCTTGCTTGCCTCTACTTTATTATGCTATTTCTAGCATAGGATAATCATATGCATGCATGAATTGCTTGATTTCCTAGGCTAGGTGCTTTCCTATATTTTATTATAGTTATAGCACCGAGCTAGGTTGCGTGCACCGAATTCTGGCTTTTCGGTTGCCACCGAATTGCCTTCTACCGAATTCGGTAAGGATCTGTTCGCGACGCTTCGCGACCCGCAGAACCTTCGCGTAACACCTGGTTACTCGGCCTTGTGTCGAGCCTATATATAGCCTCGTGTTGTACCCAGGTGATTCATTCAATTCACATTCTCGTTTCTGAGCTCGATCCTAGATCCTCACACCCCCCCCCCCCCCCCCCCCCCCCCCCCCCCTTCTTCGTCTCCCTGCTGCACGTGCAGCCGTGGAATGGAGGGTATGGGGGTGGCGGGTATGGGGGTGATGGATGGTATGTTTCCCTTCCCCACCTCCTCCTTTGTCTCCCACTGCTGCAGGTGCCGCTGAGGGGGGTGGATGTGTGGGAGCCAAAGGCGTGGTACTAGGGGGTGGGGTCTGAGTAAACCTAGGGGTGCAGTAGGGGGTGTGTGAAATGGGGGTGGGATAGTTTGGGGAGGTTGAAGGGGGTGGCCGCCGTGAAGCCCGCAGCTCCAGTCGCCCGTGAGACCGTTGCGCCAGTCGCCCGTGAGCCCGTTGCGCCAGTCGCCCGTGAGCCCGTTGCTCCAGTCGCCCGTGAGTCCGTTGCTCCTGCCGCTCAGATCTAGCCGCGGAGCCAGTTACTCCAGTAGCCCGTGTGCCAGTTGCTCCAGTTGCCAGTGTGCCAGTTGCTCCAGTTGCGCCGTGTGCCAGCAGCTTCAGCTGCCGCCAACTACCTCCTCTCCTCTCATAGTCCCTCCTCCTCCACACTTGCCTTCTGCGACAGCCTCTAGCTTTGCTTACATTTGTGAACTTTAAACTGTTGCTTCTTGTACTTGTGCTCAGAATGTGTGGTGACATTGTGATCCACCCTGAGCTTGTTCTGCTTTGCTTGTTGTGCTGATTACACCCCACTTTGACTATGGGGGTGTGTCAGAATATTATGTTTCTCTAGTCTGCAGTGGGGTACTCTATAGTGAGTACAACCCTTTTAGGGTTTGCTATATGTATCCCAATGTTTGCTAGTGAACCCCCCCTTCCTTCTCTCATTCCTCATTTTCTTCACACTTACTGCTACAGCTTCTACTGCTAGTGCTGTTACTAGTACTACTACTGCTGCTACTGCTACTGCTGCCACCATGGCTACTCCCACAATTCTCTCTTTCGATGGCGAGGGCCGCCCGGTTCAGTTTGACGCTTGGCTCGACGACCTGCACCTGTTCCTACAGATCAGTGCTAAGGACGATATCTCACTGTACGATCACGCGTCCGAAACCGCTCCCGCACCTGCTGAGACTGCTGACAACACTGCTCGCTCCCAGTGGCAGACTCGTGACGCTCACGCTCGCCTAGCCATTCGCAGCCACCTACCGCTAGATGAGCGCGCGCATTTTGGCCAGCACAAGACTGCTAAGGCACTGTACAATGCTGTAGTAGCGCGCTACTCCTCGCCTGCCTCTGCTACGATCGGCCGTCTCTCGCTGCCCTATCTTTTCCCCGATCTGGCCGCCTTTCCCACAGTCGCTGACCTCATTACTCACCTCCGCACTAGTGACACTCGCTACCGAGCCGCCGTTCCTGCTGAGTTCCTAGCCAAGAATCCTCCCCTGATGTACCTCGTTCTCTACCACTTAGTCATCCGTCTCCCTGACTCCTTTCGCATAGTCAGGGACCACTTTCTCGCCCTCCGCCCCACCGAGCTCACCGTTGACCTGCTCGAGAAGCATCTGCTTGCAGCCGAGGCTAGCATAGTCGCTGTAGGTGCCTCTCGTGGCGACCCCCACACACCCTTCTTTGAAGGGTGTTCCCCTCCCCCCCTTCTCCCCTCGGTCGCCTCTGCTGCCGCTGTCGACTACCTTGGTGCTGAGGAAGTCGGCGCTGCGTCTGCTCCTAGTGGGAGGCGCAAGGGCGGCAGGGGCAAAGGGGGCAAGGGTGGTGGCGGTGACAGTGGGGGAGGTGAAGATGGCGGTGGAGGCGATGGGGGCGGTGGGGGTGGTGGCGGTGGTGGGGGAGGTGGCGGGGTTGGGGGGGTCAGTGGCAGCAGCGGGAGTGGTGGCGGCAATGGTGGTGGAGGGGGCCGGGGAGGAGGCGGTGGTGGTGGCGGCAGCGGACGTGGTGGCGGCGGCTGGGGTGGTGGTCGGGGTGGACCAGTGCAGCGTGGGGGTTCGGGTGGTGTCCAGCGCCAGCAGCAGCGTCTAGGAGAGACCCTGACGCCCCAGCAGCTTCGTGAGTGGTACTCTCAGCATGGGGGGTCTGGGGGTGGAGGTACCAGCCCGTATGTCATCCGCACAGGTGACTGCGCTGGTCAGACGTGTGACACACACGCAGCACCGCTACTTCTACCGTCTTGACGACGCCTGGCGTGCACAGCACTGCTCCTCTGAGCTGCCCCGCTGGGCTGATTTGCTTAAAAAGAACATTGATATATTTGTTCTTGACTTTGATGTTATCCTTGGTGCTATGTATGCGTTGTCTACTAGTGTTGAGAGTGACTCTTACCTGCGTGTCCCGCCCCACCCGGGCATTGCGTCCAGTGAGGCTGCCGCTCTAGATGCTAGTGCGTCTGTTGCCCCATGTCCAAGAGAGGCGTCTGCTCTAGGTGCTGGTGAGTCTGCTGCTTCAGGTGCTTGTGTGCCTGCGCCTTTAGGTACTGCGTCCAGTGCGGCTCTGCACACCTTCACAATGGACTCAGGTGCTTCCCCTTGTTTCTTTTGGGACTGCACTACTCTAGCGCAGCTCCCTAGGCCTGTTGCTGTCTCCCTGGCTGACCCCTCCGAGGGTCCGGTCCTTGCGACCTCCATCACTGCCCTCCCTTGTCCTGCTGTCCCGTCCGGCACGCTGTCTGGTCTTTACCTCCCCTTGTTCTCTACGAACTTGGTGGCAGAGTCCGCGCTCTAGGACGCGGGTGTTCACCAGTTCACCCTGCCTACGAGCGTGTGACACACTGCACGTGTGCTCAGACGGGTCATCACCTGGCTACCTTCACTCGGCAGCCGGGGTCGGACTTGTACACACTGACCACTGAGTCCCCTCAAGTAGCTGCGTTTGCGTCTGCGTCAGGTCAGTTGTCCGCTCTCTGCTCGTGTCGCACCTTGTCGCATCGGACGGTCCTCTGGCATCACCGCCTTGGTCACCCTTTGATGCAGCGCCTTTGTGGCATGCACTCCCGGTACCTTGTCTCTGGTCTCCCCAGGTCACTGCCTCCCCTGCCATAGTCCCCTGCCCCTCCTTGCCTTCCCTGTGTCGAGGGGCGGCAGCGTGCTGCCCCCCACTCTTCTGAGTTCCCCCCGATGGAGGCTCCTCTGCAGACCCTTCACATGGACGTGTGGGACCCAGCCCGCGTCCGTGGACAGAGCGGAGAACACTACTTTCTGCTGGTAGTTGACGACTACACGTGTTACACCTCGGTCTTCCCCTTGCGTACCAAGGGTGAGGTCCCTGATGTCTTGATCCCTTGGATCCGCGCTACCCGTCTCCAGCTGGAGAGGCGCTTTCACACGGACCTTCCGTCCTACGGCTGCACTCTGACAGAGGTGGTGAGTTTTCCTCCGGCCTCTTGCGGACTTTCTGTCATGTGGAGGGCATTGAGCCGACGTTCATGCTTCCGGCCTCTCCGCATTGAAATAGGGGGTTGCTAAGTGCCGCATTGGCTTAGTCATGGAGATCGTTCGTACCTCCTTGATCCATGCGGCTGCCCCCCATTTTCTGTGGCCGTTTGCGGTCCGGTACGCCGGGCATCAGCTCAACCTCTGGCCCCGTGTCTCCGTTCCGGAGACCTCACCGACACTGCGTTGGACGGGAGAGGTTGGTGATGCGTCTGTCTTCCGGGTCTGGGGATCTCGTGCCTTTGTCCACGATACGTCCGCAGACAAGCTCTCCTCCCGCGCCGTTCCCTGCGTCTTCCTTAAATTCCCCTATGACGCGCCTGGTTGGCAGTTTTACCACCCCACCTCGCGCCATGTTGTATCCTCTCAGGACGTCACGTTTGACGAGTCGGTCCCCTTTTACCGTCTCTTCCCCTACCGCACTGCCCCACTCCCCCCTCCGCCACTCTTCCTCACGCTAGGTGCTGCTTCGGTAGACCCCCTACCTCCCCAAGGTCCTGCTCCCTCGGGTGTGTCCCAGGTAGACCCAGTCGAGCATGTCATGGTAGCTGTCGACTCTGGTCCTGCGTAAGGTACTGAGCCTGGGGGTGCTGAGCCTGGAGGTCCTGAGCCTGGGGGTGGTGAGCCTAGAGGTCCTGAGCCTGGGGGTCCTGCGCTTAGGGGCGCTCTCTTGTCCCAGCAGCTGCGTGAGTGGTACTCTCAGCACTGTCGCCACACACGTAGTGCTGTGGGAGCTGGGGGTGCTCCTGGAGATGGAGTTGAGGGCGCTGGAGCTACTGGTGCTGGTCTCGCTGCCGACCCTGGGGTTGGCGCTGGAGGTGCTGCTAGAGCCGCTGGAGGTGCTGGGGCTAGTGGTACAGCAGCGGCTAGAGCTGGAGGCGCTGCCGCTCATTCTGCTGGAGGTGCTGCGAGAGTTGGAGCCGCCTCTGAGGGTGCTGGTGCTGTCTCTGCTGGTTCTGGGGGCGCTGCGGAGCCGTAGATGTACTTCATTCCGCTCCTTCAGCAGGTTCTTGGTCTCCCGCCTTCTACTGGTCCTGCCCCTTCCTTAGAGTGTCCACCACCTGTCCAGTCACAGTCACTGTTACAACCTGCATCCCCACTGCCTGCTCCTTCTCCTTACACTGGTCCGACCGGAGGTCTTACTGAGCGTCGAGAGCCTGAGTCCCGTCCTGCGTCACCTGTTTGTGCTGCTCGCATTGGTTGTCGTGTTCCGCGTCAGCGTCCTCCTGCGGTCCAAGGCACGCACCAGATGGCTCTTCGTCCTTCCACTGCTCCACAGCGTGTCCCTATGCCGTCTCCTCCTGCGTCCTCTCTTCCTGCCCTTGCGGACCCGGGGTCTGACTCCCTTCGTGCTGCTAGTCCTAATGTCACACGTCTCCTGGCCACTGCTGTCTCTGACCCTTCCTATGAGTCCACTGCTGCGTCTGCCTTAGTTGCTGAGCTTGTCGACTTTGTTGCTAGACTATGCCGCTAGTCTGGTTGCTGAGTCTGAGTCTGTCTGTCCTTCGTCCGTCGGGGGTGAGTGTGCTCTTGGCACGGACGTCCTTGAGGACAGGCAGGAGGACTTTGATTGCTTTGCGGCCGCTGTACCTCATCTCGTGTCCATGCTGATTGCACGTGAGGGAGACCCCGATGCACCAGACATCCTGACCCCGCGCTCTTATGCAGAGGCGATAGAGGGTCCCTACTCCTCTCAGTGGCAGTCAGCCATGGACGAAGAGATGGCTTCCTGGAAGTCCACAGGCACCTACGTCGACGAGGTTCCCCCACCTGGGGCGAACATCGTCAGTGGCATGTGGATTTTCAGGGTGAAGCGGCCGCCGGGTTCTCCGCCTCTCTTCAAGGCATGTTACGTTGCTCTAGGCTTTATTCAGCGACAAGGAGTTGACTTCTTCCATACCTTCTTCCCGATCCCGAAGATGACCACTCTTCGGGTTCCGCTGCACGTCGCTGCTTAGTGTGACTACGAGCTTCACTCTCTTGACTTCAGCAATGCTTTCCTACAAGGCAGCCTGCACGAGGAGATCTGGCTGCGCCACCCTCCTGGCTTCACAGGGTCGTTTCCTCCTGGTACCCACAGGAGCCTACGACGGCCAGTCTACGGTCTCCGCCACGCGCCCTGTGAGTGGCACGACACACTGAGGACTACGCTTGCGGCTCTTGGGTTTGCTCCTTCTACTGTTGACCCGTTGCTGTTTCTGCGCACCGACACTTCGCTGCCACCGTTCTACATCCTCGTGTACGTCGACGACTTGGTCTTTGCCACTGCTGACACTGAGGGACTCGCCCACGTGATGTCGGAATTGCAGAAGAGACACACGTGCACAGACCTGGGTGAACAGCGCAGCTACCTTGGCTTGCAGATCACCCGGGACAGAGCACAGCGCACCATTACCCTGACTCAATCACACGTGGTGCAGCAGGTCCTTGAGCGCTTTGGCTTCACGTACTCCTCGCCTCAGGCCACTCCTCTGTCTACTAGCCACTCGCTCTCAGCTCTGCCTTCGGATGAGTCCGTAGAGCTGAGTGGCTTGTACCCAGAGCTTGTTGGCTGCCTCATGTACCTGATGACCTGCACTCGTCCTGTTTTGGCATACCCTCTTAGCATCTTGGCACGCTATGTTGGTCCTGGGAGACACCGACCAGAGCACATGGCTGCAGCGAAGAGGGAGTTGCGCTGCCTGTGCAGTACGTCGGGCATGGGGCTAGTGCTTGGAGGATGGGCTGGAGTTGTCCTCACTAGTCACGCAGACGCTTCTTGGGTTGACTACTTGGCTACCCAACGGTCGTCACAAGGTTACACCTTCAACCTTGGCTCCGGTTCTGTTTCGTGGCGGTCTACCCCCTCGTCTTCTGTTCTCGGCTCTAGCTGTGAGGCTGAGATCTACGCAGGGGCCATGGCTGTACAGGAGTTACGCTGGCTCACCTACCTGCTGACCGACTTGGGAGAGGTGCCTCGTTCTCCTCCAGTTCTGTACGTCCACAACAAGGCCATGCTGGCCTTGTGTTAGGAGCATAGACTGGTGTCAGAACATTATAGCTTACTCATTTGTGTAGGCTACAGTGGGGTATCCCATAGGGGGTACAACCCAGCTAGGGTTTCCTATTTGTACTCACTTCGTTCATAGTTCACACATTCTCTCGTTCACTTCTTCACATGGAATCAGAGCAGGTTCCCCTGTGGGAACTGTGCTTCGGGCCCACCACCTAGAACTTTTTTTTCTGCACTGGCGCCCGCCCTAGTGCCCGCCCTAGCGCCCGCCCTAGCGCCCGCCCTTTCGAGCCGCCCGTTCGCGTCGCCCGTTAGCGCCGCCCGTTAGCGCCGCCCGTGCGGCTGCCCCTTCGCGCCGCCCTTTGCGCAGCCCGTAGCGCCGCCCGTGCGGCCGCCCGTTAGCGCCGCCCGTGCGGCCGCCCGTAGCGCCCCTCGTGAGCCGCCGCCCGTAGCGCCGCCCGTGAGCCGCCGCCCGTCGCCACCCTTTAGCGCCGCCCGTGAGCGCCGCCCGTGACGCAGCCGCCCGTGACGCAGCCGCCCCTGAACCGCCGCCCGTGACGCTGCCGCCCGTGACGCCGCCGCCCGTTCCGTCGCCCCCCCCCCCCCCGTGACGCCGCCGCCCGTCCCGCCGCCCGCCCGTCACGCCGCCCGCCCGTGAGCCGGCGCTGCCCGCGAACCGCCCACCCGTGGGCCTTCAGCCCGCCCGTGAGCTGCCGACGCCGCCCGTGAGCAGCCGACGCCGCCGCAGCCACCCGTAAGCCGCCGACGCCGCCCGTGAGCCGCCGACGCCGCTGCCGCTGCCGTCGCCCGTGAGCCGCCGACGCCGCCGCCGCCGCCCTTGAGCCGCCGACGCCGCCGCCGCCGCCCGTGAGCCACCGTCGCCCGTGAGCCGCCGACGCCGCCGCCGCCGCCCGTGAGCCGCCTTGGCCGCCCGCCCAGCCGCCCGTGAGCTCCCCGCGCGCCGTCCCAGCCGCCCGTGAGCCGCCACCGAGCTGCCCCAGCCGCCCGTGCCGCCGCCCGAACCGCCTGAGCCGCCTGAGCCGCCCGGGCCGCCCGCGCCGCCCTAGCCACCCGAGCCGCCCGAGCCGCCCTAGCCGCCCGAGCCGCCCGCGCCGCCCGAGCCGCCCGAGCCGCCCGAGCTGCCCGAGCCACCAGAGGAGCTGCTCTCCTGCTCCTGTCGGGCTACTGCTGCTCCTGGGCTGTGTACCTGCGCCGCTGACCTACCCGACTCTTCCTGCCCGGTGAGACTGTCAGCTGCTGTCATGGCCACCCCCAATGTCCTAGCTTTTGACGCTGAGGGTAGAGCCATTGACTTTGCAGTCTGGATTGAGGACATGCAGCTGTACTTACTGTGTGATGCGGTCGATGAGGTCTCTCTCTTTGACTTTGTCTCTGGCGCTGTCCCTGCCCCTCCTCCTGATGCTGATTCCGCCGTTCGCTCCAAGTGGGCGACCCGCGATGCTGCTGCACGTCTTGCTGTGCGTCGCCACCTCCCTTCCTCCGAGCGTGCCCACTTTAGTCAGTGCAAGACCGCTCAGGCCTTGTACGACGCTGTAGTTGCACGCTACTCCTCCCCTTCCTCCGCTACGCTGAGCCGCCTCATGCTACCTTTTCTCTTCCCTGACCTCGCTGCCTTTCCCACTGTCGCTGACCTCATTACCCACCTCCGCGCTAGTGACGCTCGCTACCGCGCTGCCCTTCCTGCTGAGTTCCGCGCCGCCAACCCTCCTCCCATGTACATCACTCTCTACTTTCTTGTCACCCGTCTCCCTGAGTCCCTCCGTGTCGTTAGGGACCAGTTTCTCTCTGTCTGTCCCACCAACCTCACTGTCGACCTCCTTGAGGAGTCCCTGCTAGCGGCTGAGAAGAGCATAGTCGCTGTAGGGGCCTCTCGGGGTGACCCTCGCACCCCCATCTTTGAGGGGTGTTCTCCTTCCCCCCTGCTGCCCTCTATCGCCTCTGCCGCTGCGGCCGACCTCACTGGTTTTGAGTCGGTCGGTGCGGCGTCTGCCCCCAGCGGTAGACGCCGCTCTGGCAAGGGCAAGGGGGGCAAGGGAGCGGGTGGAGCTAGAGGGGGCAGTGGCGGAGGAGGTGGGGGTGGCGGGGGGAGTGGGGGTGGCGGTGGAGGTGGTGGCGGGAGTGGAGGTACTGGTGGAGGCGGTGGAGGCGGAGGTGGCGGCGGGGGCGGTAGCGGAGGAGGCGGGGGCGAGGGTACCAGTGGGGGCGGTGGCGGTGGAGACGGGGGCGGTGGTGGAGGCGGGAGTGGCGGTGGCGGCGGGGGTCGGAGTGTCTCGTCCCAGCGCAGCAGCTCTGGGGGTGGTCAGCGCCAGCAGCAACAGCAGCAGCAGCAGCAGCAGCAACGCTCTCGCACCGTCCCCGCCCCTCAGCAGCTCCGTGAGTGGTACTTGCAGCGTCAGCGTGGTGGTGCGTTTGGTCCCTGCCCCTACGTTCTTCGCACCGGCGACCGTGCGGGGGAGAGGTGTGGAGGCACCCACACGGCCCGCCGCTGCTTTGGCCGCCTGACCGACGCCTGGCGTCAGCAGTTTCCAGAGGCCGCTGAGATCCCCCGCTGGGGGGAG